CCGGCCAGGATGTAAGGGCAGGTGGGAGACCTGTCCAGACCACACAATTCAGGAACATCGAAATAGCAGGTTTAAACAAACGCCGCATGCGTCCGTGCAATACGTAGCCGTTGTTCACATGTATCTGTGGCTACTTTTACACATTCCAATGGGGAACCACCCTGTTGTGCCCAACCTTGTCACCCACCTCCCCCCCCTATCAAAGACAAACCTCAAGCAAAGCCTCTTTGAGGCCAGCTTTCGGGATTTGCGTGTGGCATTGGTGGTGTAGTTTTTTTTCTTTTTCCGGTGGCATGCTTTGGAATAACCCTCAGGAGGTTCAGATTCTCAGACAAAGACTTTCCTTTGGTTTTCTCCCCTTTGTTGCCGCCCTTTCGAGGGAGATGTCAGATTAATGAAATGATGATCCTGCGCATTTCTTGGAGCCAAAAGCTGTTCCCCTTCATGGGTGATTTGTGGGCAAGTATCTCGAAACCACAAAAATCAGGGCCAACAGTTCAAACTGTGTGTGTGTCAAATGGACCACCCCACCCCATTCTTTTAAGAATGTACCTTTTCTGTTGTTTGCCCTTGGAACCAAGCTGCAAAGGAAATACAAAAACACACACACACACACACATCACTACATAACCCCCCGCCTCCCCACATCGGCACCCGCATCTCGCTCTCTCGCTCTCCCGCTTTGGCCTTGCCGTAGCATCAGCAGCTCGGCCACGCGGTTGGCCACGTCCACCGGGCCCTCGAAGGCCTCCGTGAAGCCTTGGGAGTTCCACATGTCCTCCCGCGAAGGCGACGCGCGCGCGCGCGCGTCGCGGAAGGCGCAGGGGGGGGGGGGGGGGCAGCGCACCGGAGAGCATCGAGAGCCGTGGCTCGAGGCCCCATGAGGGATGGAAGAGAAGAATCGTTTTGGGCATAGATGAGATCACCATGACTTGCCGGAGCCATGCATCTGCAACCACTTACATCAAGGTGCATTTACAGTGGTGGGCCCTTCCAACCCCCAAGCAAAAATATAAATCACCAAACGAGGGCAATCTGAACGCACGACCGCTTCATTAGAGGGAGCCTCAACCACCCCTCGCGAACCAAAACCCCGTTCCGCCCTTCTAGCCCGCCAATACACACGCTTGCACTAACATGTTTGCGACATGGGTATGACACCAGCTACTCTTACGGCAGTCCTTCAAGCCAAACGACAACTTGGCCAGAACTGCGATCAGGTCATCGTCGCCTGGCAGCACACGCAACGCTCTCAACTGGTGGCAGGCAGCGTGAAGCAACCCAACAGAATGAATTCTGCTCTGTACCGTTTCTATGCGCACAAACTGGCCCATGAGCATCCTGAGGTCCATCCACCCCCGCCCCACCCCCGCTCCACCCCCGCCCCAGCCCCCACCTTCTTCCCTGGACCTGGTGTAAAGATCGGCCACCGCTTCGCCAATGTCTTTGTGAACTGGCTGCTCCAGCCACTCCTGCGAATTTTCAATTGCAGCACGTCCGACCACTGCGCGCCCAAACATCAGGAGAACCCGCCAAGCAAACAAACAACCAATCAGCTGAACAACAAGTTTCGCCAAAAATTATCAAAAATTGGCCTTTGAGAAGCTCGGTGGCAATGTTGCAACATATGCCCCTAATTCACCCTCTCGCAACACCAGCCAGAACTCGGGCTGGGGCACGGAAACCGCAAAACGCACCTGGCTTCCTTTTTATCCAGCCCCCCCCCCCCAAAAAAAAAAAAAAAAAAAAAACTTCGCCCACTGTCAAACCTCCGAAAAACCCATACAAACACCGCCACGCCTCATCCAAATACCGGGCAATGACCCAGGCCAGCCACGCCGGCTCGTCGGGGTCCATTGCCGGGAGCTGCACCCCCTGAATGGCGTTGGAGCGAACGCCCTTGCAGTCCCCCGCGTCTACCTCACGCGGTCCGTCTGCGGGGTTACCCTGCTTGGGGTTGTGTTACATGTTTTGGGAGAGGGGGGCCCGCGAAACACAGACACACCCAGATAGAGAGACAGAGAGACAGAGAGACAGAAAGAAAGAAAGAAAGAAAGAAAGAAAGAAAGAAAGAAAGAAAGAAAGAAAGAAAGAAAGAAAGAAAGGAGAGACAGAACGAAAGAGAGAAGAAAAAATAACAGGTGGGCAGATAGAAAGATCGATCGATAGAAAGATAGAAAGATAGATAGATGGATAGATAGGCGGGTAATTTAATTTTTTGCTGACGGATGGATGGATAGCCTCATGCACTGATTGGTTGATTGACTGATTGATTGATTGATTGATTGATTGGTTGATTGATTGATTGGTTGATGGATTGATCAGACTAGGCAGATTGAATGGCTTAGATTAGATGAATTTGACCGGATTGAATCTATAGCTAGGTGGGTAGATGAGTAGATGGGTAGATGGGTAGATGGTTAGATAAGTAGGTGGGTACATGGGTTGGGGGGGGGATGGGTAAATGGGTAGATGGGTAGATGGGTAAATTGGTAGATTGGTAGGGCAGAGAAGAAGCTAAGGTACATATGCAGGTAGGTGGTAGGCCGGTAAATGATTTGCTGAGCATGGCTTTAGCTGAGTGCAAGCTTGGGTCCAATTTGCGACTGTCTTAACAAACTACGGAAAATTGGGGTCACTGGGAAGGATTGCTCTTGCGCAAGTCAAATGGTTGGGCATGCGCTGGCTAGCTTGGTTGACGGCTCCGTCTTCGTTTGGGATAAGCATATCACACACCGAAATGCCAACAGGAAGCTGCCAGCCGCATATGAGGTGAAGGGATGCCTAGGCCCTCCTCGCCGCAAATAACGCTACGTGTCTCAAAATCTCCTTCTTTATATTTGCAGCAGTCAGGGGCAGCTACGTGGGAGTCCGAAACCCGTTGAGCCGAATACCAGAGCAATCCTGCGGGCCAGCAGCGCCATTTCCCCAGCGGCGCGCGGAGTGCTGCGATTTATCAAGTACGTCGGCGGCTCCGTCTTGCATGTCTGCGCAAGAGCCTGGCATTGTGTGAGACATGTGCGACGTGAGCCGCCTTTCAGGGTTCGGCGGGCCATTGGTCGCCACGCATCTGCCTGCAGCTGTGACTTTCGCTGGTGTTCGTTTTGCAGCCGGAACAAACGCGTGTTCATTGTCATTTCGGGCTGCCTCTAGAATGTACATGGATGGTACACCCATTAAGACCTTGGGCCACGGTCGGCTGAGCTTGCCCCTGACCCTGCCAGTTCTTCCTGCCCTTCTTTCTTGGGCCTCCGTATCATCACGGGCGCAGTCTTGTTTCGCACTAAAAGCACCGACATGGTCCAAGAAGCTTGCCGCAAATTGCTTTAAGCTGACCGCTGAGCACTGGTCAAGCTGCAATCTTCATGTTTTCAGCTCACACAGACCCATGCTCCTGAGCCGCAAAGGTCAAGGAGCAAGGCTTCATTCGCAACAAGCAAGCAGTTGCGCAATCAGGGGCCTGTCGCACAAGGACGTCCATTAAAAGTGAGGACTCAAATACGGGCAAACTAAGCCCTGTAAAACACCTGAAGCGTGGCGGGGGGGTTGGGGTGCCGCCCCCCCCATGATGATTGAAAAGTGATGATTCAATTAGGGGTGCGTTGCAATCTCTGCCAAAAATCCAAAAATGAGGATCGAAGTAAAAAGTAGTGGGGGGGGGGGGTTGGGGGGGGCGGCAGCCCCCCCCATAATGGTCAAAAATGTGATGGTTCAATTGGGCAGCAGCCCTTCCATGATGATTGAAAAAGTGATGATTCAATTAAAGGCGCGGGGGGGCGGCAGCGCCCCCCATGATAATCGAAAAAGTGATGATTCAATTTGAGGCAAAAAGTGTAAAAAGTAGTGGGGGGGTTGGGGGGGGGGGGCTGCCGCCCCCCCCGTGATGATCGAAAAAGCGATGATTCAATTACGGCCAAAAAGGAAATATAAAAAAGAAAGCGGGGGGCGGCAGCCCCTGCATGATGATCGAAAAAGTGATGATTCAATTAGGGGCAATGAATCTAAAAAGTGGCTGTCGCATGATGATCGAAAAAGTGATGATTCAATTAAGCGTGCATTTTAATCGAAAGGGGGGTGGCGGGGGACACCAGGGCGGAACTTGCGATGCTGAGGATTCAGGAAGCCAAGGCCAAAAACCAACTGGGAAAGCAGAGAATGCGAAAAGCCAAAGCCAGAAAGCCGCCAAAAGCCACAAAGCCAAAAAGCCACCTGCCGCTGCGGAACTGGCAATGCAGAGGATGCGAAAAGACAAACAGAGAGGAACTGTGAATGCAGAGAATGCGAAATGAAAAGCCACAAAAGCCGAAAAGCCACCCACCCTGAAAAACAAAAAAAACCATTTAAAAAAAAAAAACGAAAAACAAAATCTAAAAAAAAATGCCCTCCTGCATAATAATCTTTACGATATTTTGCATTCCTAGCTTAAGTCTAAGGAATAGTAACAGTTAAAAACAAAAAAATCGTCTGGAATTATCACTTGCTCTACTTTCTCTACTTCTATTGTGTCAATAAAAATTGTTCATATATATGCATAACAAAACAATGTAATTGAATGTATCATGTGATTTCATGCATGTTAGACTGCTCGGGTTCAACATGGTTTGTTCTCATAGGGCAGGGGCCAAACTACTTATTTACAGTACTTATTAACGCAACTGATATGGGCATCCGTTCCGCTTATGATATATGGATATCATAAACGATAGTGCATGCAATATTTATCACAAATCTTTGCCCAAGCAATTGTAAGAAAACATTACGGCTGATGTGCCCAAAGTAGAACCAATAAACATAACTGAATATGAATGTACATAATCTGAATATCCACATTCACATGTTCCACCCATTTCATTGTTGCGAGTTCGACAGGAGGAAAGAGTGTCCTTATTCAATAAAAACATAGAATGTCTATAAACACTTTTCTACCGTGTACTCTAAATAGATCGATAAACAGATAGATGGATAGATGGGTAGATGAATACATGGATAGATGGATAGATTCATACATGCATAGATGGATAAATGAATAGATGGATGGATAGATGGATAGATAGATAAATAGATAGATAGATAGATAGAAGCTAGATAGGTGGGCAAATAGCTACATAGATGCATGGATACATTGCTCGGATGCATAGATACATCGATATAAAGATAGAAAGATGGATAGATAAATAGACAGATTTATTGATAGATTCGTTGATCCACTGATAAATTTATTTTGCTGATTGATTTATTGAGTAGACTGGCTAGACAGTGATTAGATATACAAACTTGAGGAGCGGGTGAACGAAAGCTAGCAGTTGTTGCATGAGACGGGTCGGTGACAGAGTGAATTCATAGGTAGCTTGTGTACAACGAGAGGCCCGGCAAGATTCGTAGGATGCGACACGCAAACGCAAACCTTGAAAAATGAAAACAACGAGAGGCGTCAGAAGCTGTCTTAAAGCACCTCTGGTAGACTGGCTAGACAGTTTGATTAGATATACAAATTAGATTAGATTAGATTGGATTGGGTTCGATTGGATTACATAGGCTATGTAGACAGACGGACAGACAGATAGACTAGATAGATAGACAAACAAACAAAAAATAGACAAGCAGACAGACTCCAAATAGAGAGGTAGATAGATCAATCGATCGATTCGTTAGATAGACAGGTAGCTAGGTAGACAAACACTAGATAGGAGACGATAAAAAAAAGATAGAGCATCATAAAAGCACAATAGAATGTACTAAAGCAAAGCAGAATAGATTCCAGAATTAGCTGGATAGAGAACAAATACGTAGTGCATATATAATGATAGATAGTTGGGTAGATATGTAAAGTGTATGTGCAGGTGAGCACCATGTATGCGTGCCTGTGCGTGTGTGTGTGTGTGCACGCACATGCAAGCATGCAAGAATGGAAAATATATGAATGGATGCATGAAGGTACCTGTGTAAATACATACGCATGCGTGCATGCACATGTGCTTCTATACCTGTGTGCACGTGTGTGTGCATGTATGTATATCATGCACGAGTATGTCATAGTATGTCATACCTGACCACGATTGAAGTTTCTAGACTTCAAGCCCGCCCCGTCCATGAACGTTGCTCGAGTTGGCCTTTCCTTGCAGCCAAACATTTGTGAAGAAGGTCATGTGAAGTCATAAAGGTTGTCAGCCCAACATGAGAGAGAGAGAGAGAGCGAGATCTGTGGAGCACATGTTTTGCTACATGTAGGACTGACAGCAAATTACACAACTCACTCTCCAGCGGCAGCTTCAGTTGTTGTGGAATGCAAACCTGTCATTGCATGAATCCTCGGAACTCAGTTGGAGTTGCCCTTATATGAGACACCCTAAACCTACCCCTACAGGACACCCTGCAAAACTGCAGTGGGTCTTTGAGCCACGGCTTTGCGTAACTCAAGTGGTATCCCTCAACTAGCAGGCACCCTGTCCGAATTCAAACCATCTTCTTGAGGCAAGCTCGTTCACAGACAGGGCTGCTGGCAAGTTCGCCGAACATCTAACCAACACCTGGATATAGCAAATAGATATGCACAAATGAGGCTCAGGCGGTGGCCTCTCAATTTCAGCGATGGTTGCTTTCTTGAAATGGTTGCTTTCTTGCGATGGTATTTCCTGCAAAATCGCCAATCATCTCTTCAATGATCTTGATAGGTTTCTCCATAGTATGCGAAGGTGTATGTTTAGGTATGTTGTTTAAAGACGAGTTGGCGATGTCGGCAAGCGGTATTGCTGTTCCAAGGGCATCCCTTGCAAGCTTACAAAGGTCTGGCCAACCCCTGGCAACGTTGGCAAATGCATTCGCAACTGCTCACGTGGTAGCCCTGGACATGTTGGGTAGAATGGTCCCCAGGCTCCTGTCTTGTGTTTGCTGCTTTGCGATCGGCAGCTCTGAATCACGACAGGCTTCGCAAAATTGCCAGAATGCGCTCCTGCAAGAAGGAAGTTACAGGAAGCCCTTGTCAATTCCTACTCGTTTCAACACCATTCCTGCTGGCAGGTGCGCAAGTTCTCTAAAACAACAGGGTGACCTCTGGCAACAATCTTGCTCCTTGTGGTTGCATTTTGTCTCCGTGCGGGGCCACTTCATGCTTCCAGTCTTCAGCCCCGATGGCACTAGTCCAAGACAGGGGGAAGGGCCGCTGTGGGTGGCTGGCTGGGTGGGTGGGTGGGTGCACGTCCACATCTTGAAACAATCAAACAAGACTAGACTGCAAAGTCGACGCAAAGCTCCGATCCAAGCTGCTTCTGCCGCGCGGGTTACGCGCGGTGCGCTCCGCACGCGGCTGGGACCCACCCAGCAGAGCGGCAGCGCCAAAAGGAGAACAGCGCGCACCACACGCGCCATGGACGCCATTGGGATGAACCGAAAAAGGGGGGCTTGAGGCTTGCCTGCAGCAAAGGCACCTGTCACGCAAGGGTTTAACACAATTGGCTTCAACCAGACTTGTGGGTCTACGGGGGAACCAAAAAAAACTTTTTCAACAGGAGGCATTTAAACATCAATTGACACTTGCACGCAGGGCTTCGAATCATCTGACAAATCTTGGCGAGAGAACGCTGCTTCACCTTGCTGGCGAGAGTCGAGCACGCACTGATCGCTGCATTGAAGCTGATGATGTCCGTCTCAGGCGCACTGTGCCTTAGGTAGCTGTTGTTTGAGCAAGCCAAGCAATCGTAACGTGCGGGTGGCTGTCTCTCTCATGAAAGCGGCCAGCTACAGCAAAGCCAGCGCCAACTGCCAGCTGCTCGACTTCTCGCAGGCGCTGATGGCGGAGTTGCAGCCTCGCCATTGGCGCCCCGTCCGGTACAATACAAGCGCGGAAACTCCAAACCGGCCCAGTGCGGCCCAGCCACTGATCACGTCAGGCCTGAGCTGATAGTCGGGCATCCGGGACCTAGGCGGGAGCAGAGTTGCGACTCAAGGCTGCCGGTGCCTCCGAAAAAGCAACCCAAAAGGAAGGCTGGGCCCACACACAAGACACATCCATGGGAGCAAGCCTTCTTTCCTTGCACTTCAGACTTGAGACAGAAGCATCTATGATTTGGGTCTCTCGGGGGCCAAAATCGTGACTTTCTTCGTGGTTTCTCTTGAAATCAGCCTGAAAGGATACCCTCAAAATACACACACCCACTTGCACGAGTTGGGGCGTTGATCCCCGCACCAATTCCGGGACCCCGAACCGACACAGCCTGCGGGGAAAGACTTGCCTGCCGTCTGAATTTTGGGGTGCCCGCACAAAGGAAAAATGTACCGCCCTTCCCACCAAAAAAAAAAAGAGTTTTCCGCTGGAAATGCACAGCTTTTCTCACCAAGAAAAACAAAAACAAAAAACGCTGCGACCTGAGTGCCGCGGGCGTTTCGCAGAAACCCACAGCTCCAACGCGCAAAGCCAAGAGCTTTGGGCAAGGCGCAGGAGCAGCAAGGCGCGCTCCCACTGCTCGCCCTTCCTGGGATCAAGGCGCTTGGGCCTGGACACATTAGACACCTTTAATGGGATGCCCGATGAGGAAAAAAAAGAAGGAAAAAATGCTGCTGCGATAGGGAATGTGGTTGAATGAAGCGTTTGGTTGGATTTTCTTACAGGAAACCATAGTGGAATGGTTTGTAGGGGGCATTGCATTTCTCATTCCCTGCTGAGAACCAGCAAGAGAAGCCAACTTTCAATTTTCAGCCTAGTTTGAGGGTCCAAGGTGGATGTGGCACCCCATGGCCATGGACAAAATTGGATAAACAGCCGGGCCCTCACCCCCAATCAGAAGTCAGAGGAGGTTGTTTGAGCAATGGGTGCGAAAACAAGCTTGAACAGTGGCCCAAGCCTTAGGCAAGTTTTGGCAAGCAAGCCAACCACTCCTTAAGGCCCTAACTCCGAACACACACCAAGCGATGCCGGACCCAGGCAAGACCGAGCAAGCAAAGACATGAAGGGTGAACAGTCTGATTGGCTCAGACAAAACGAGGATTCAAATCTTATGTCTTTGGGGCTCAATTTGAGACCCATGGTCTAAAATCTTGACGGACTGGCTGGAGGCTTTCGACCGCCAGGGCGCTCGCACGCTGTGATTGCCGCATTCCAACCTTGGAATACTAAGGTGCCCCGTAGCAACCCCGGCGCCCTTTTGTTCAAACCTTTCCCGCAGGAGGGATGCACATGCTGGTCCTGATTCTCATCCAACCCGTCTCCCAAAAGCTAAGCAAGCCGTAACTACAACCACGGATGTAAACCAGAACTCCCAGAAGGTCTTCCCACATTAGCATGTCCTGCTTTGGGGTCCAACATTGCAAATGTAGGCAAGGAACTGGTTCTAATGCCCTTCACATGTTGCGCCAAAACGGGATTTGCCGGTTGGTTCAACTAATGTCAAAGCAAATCTAGGGACTGATCGGCTCAGGAAACAAAAACAACACTGTTTTCTCAATTTGCGTGTGTTCTGCATGAAAATTCAAAATAGCGTTAGAAGATCACGTTCTGTTGGATAGACAGGCCGAAAAATACCTTTGCACGCTACCAGGATTGGGAACATTCCCTTCAACCGTCCAAAACAGCTACGAAAGTTTCAGACCATTTCTGCTCTGACTCTAATTTCCCAAGCCTTCAAAACCCCCACTCACCCACTCACCCACTCACCCGCCCACCCGCCCACCCACTACCCCCCACCAGCCCAACCACCAAAAAATCGACCATCCAAGGCACAGATCCCGGAGGCCCTGGCACCAGCTTCGCCCAGCAGCCCCAGCGCTGCGGCCCAGGCGCTTGCCTTGGCGCAGGCGCTGATGGCAGCGCCGTAGCCTCGGGCGAAGAGGACGCGCTCGGTGAGACCCGCGCGTCGAAAAAGACCACAACCACGGGAAAGCCTTGTTTGGTGGGTGGGAATCAGCTGAGTGAGTTCAGATTGGTGGTTTCAAATGGCTTGGATTGGTTTGGAAGTCAAATTGGTTTCAAATGGTGTGGATTGGTTTGGATTGGTTTGGCTTGGAGTCAGCTTCCCACAAATGTGTGCTTAGGTGGTTTGGCGGATGGGGATGTCTTGTCCTCTGAAGGGAGGTTGTTTTCCTCTTTTGTTTTGGAGACTGGGATGCCATAGGTGGGTTGTTACCCAGAGAGGTAGTTTACCCTTTTCGGGATGCCGTAGGTTGAACTTGTGGGGCAATGTGCAGGGACCCTATCTTCAAGCCTGCAGCGCCCAGTGTTTTATGTGGATGGTGGGGGGGGGGGGGGGGGCGGGGGGCAACCGGAAACTGGATTCCTGACCGTCCCATCGTCCCATCCCGGCAGGGCACCCACCGCGTCAGGCGCTTCCTGCAGCGCAAGCTGCTCGAAGAGGACCAGCGCGCCGGCCCAGCACGTCGCCTGGCGCCAAGCGGCTCCTGTTCTGAACTCCGTAAGGACTTGAGAGAGGTGGACCGTTTTTGTGGCCTCGAAATGGCAGCTGCCTTTGCACCAGCCTACTTTTTGGGGAAGGCTTTTTCGATACGGTATCCCCCAACGCGAGTGCTTGGCCTCGGCAAGGCAAATCGAAGCATATGGAAAAGCATGCGTCTGGGCAAGATGTAACTTCAGGTGGTGGCAAACCTGAGTCCCCGGCAGTACGAAAATAAATAACGTCGACGGCAACAGGTGGCAAAACAGTCCAGCCCAGACAGGGCGGAGGTCGAACCCCGTGCTGCGCACAATGCACATGGACGCCCTACTGAACCACCACATGTTATCTGGTTCTATTGGGGAAACGGGACCGTCAGCCCCCGGTACAAGACTTCAATCCGAGCCCTTTCGAGGCGGCAAAAATGAAGAAAGAAAGTGATTCTTTTCCAAACACAAACCTATCCAAGAATCAAGATGTTGGTGTTGAAGAAGGGAAGGAATGGGAAGTGGGTGAATGAGAGAATGGGCTGCCATCTTCCTTCGCCCGTCATCCACTCCAGAATGAAGATGTGACGGTAGGAGTGGATAACGGGCATCTCTCTCACCTATTAGTTGTCTCTCCAAGAAGCTCCAGAAATAGAATGGGAGTGATACGAATGGGGAGAGAGAGAGAGAGAGAGAGAGAGAGAGAGAGACGATAGGTGATGAGAAATGAAGAGTGTGAAAGTGACATGACGAAGGAATGGCTTGGGAATCATCTCCTGTTCATCCCTTCCCTCGGCACCGTCGGTTAACCCATGATTTGTGGCTCGCCAAGGGTAACAGGTTCTTGAATCCCAAGAGCTCCTACAAAAGGATTCTGATGGCACCTTCATGTCGTTTCATCTTTCCCTTACCTTTTCCTTTCGCTCGGCATCTCGCTTCTTTGAAGGAAAGGCTTGGAAAGAAAAAGAGATGAAAAGAAAGGGACGAGGGAAAGGGTTGGGTGGTCATCGCTTTCTATATACCACCCAATTCTCACCCTTTCTCTCTCTCTCTCTCTCTCCCTCTTTTCCTTTCCTGTGTCCTTTGCTCCGCCACCAGTCCATGTCAAAGAGAAAGAGAGTGAAGTGAGAAAGGAATATGAGATAGTGAGATGACAAGGCTGGGGATGGAAAAGGAAGGGAGGATCGTGTCTAAGAGAAATGACTTCCCATCCTCACCCAACCTTCCTTCTCTCACCACACGCATTATCCATACCTTTGCAGCGTGTGGAAGGGTGGGAACGAAGTGAGTGAATAAGTTGGGTCACTCCTTTCATGTCAGCTTCATTCTGGTCTAATTTTCTTTCATTATCCCACCCTGGCTGCCATTGTGACCCAACAGATTAGCTCTAGAGCCTAGCGGAGGCGAGAGGCACGGAAGATTTGGCGGCGGAGATTGCATCACTCGCGGCCTTCTCACATGCGCTCATAGCCGCATTGAAGCCTAGCACAGGCCAGGCTCACCCGCTCACCCCGTGGCCGGGTGGAAATTGGCGACAGCACTTCCATGCATTGACCGAGGCCAATCGCGAAAACCCATTGAACTGCGAAAGAACCAAGCTTGGTTGCTGTTGGCCCCCCTACCCCCCCTACCCCCCCCAAAAAAAAAAAAAAACTTAACTTTTTGGGGGTTTAGTTGAAAACCTCTTGACTTCCCAAAAAGTTGAAGTCTACGGATCCAACCCAATAGCGGTCAAGCAAAGAGCCCAGTGCCTCAATCCCACTTCCTTCCCATAGCTTGCTGCCAGGCTTCTGATCGCAGTGCGGCTGATCCTGGCGTTTGTTTTTTGGCTCACGGACTGCAGAACCCTGAAGATTTCAGAACCACGCAAGCTGCAATTTAAAACCCATCCGAACCTTTCCACCGTCAGCTGTGGAGTACCTGCGTCCACCTCATTCCTTTGTCTTCAACCCTTGAAAGGCTCACCTAAACACCCGCAGCTCGCGACCCGCCAATGGGCCAGCCCCACGTCTGTAAACAAACTCCTCCTCCTGAAACAGGCCCCAGACCGGCAGACATGTCCGTGCCGCTGCTCGGGAGTGTGAGATCCGTGGACCTGTTTGACCTTCTGGTAGCGCGGGAGCCAACTTCCGTGGCTCGTTCACGTCAGCCCAACTCTGCCCGCCTCTCAGACGCCATGCTGGAGAAGACCGCCAGCGCAGCTTCCCACTGCCCTGCTCGGCCGCAGGCGCTGATGCCGGAGTTGCAACCTGGGCGCAACTTCAGCGGGGGGACTTCCGCCAGCTGAAGAAGTAGCTGGCACAGATTCCTGCATGGAGAGCCGAGGAGGTGCTACACCAGAATTGGCGGATTTGTGCCATCTACTTTCACCCAACTGTAGTGACGATATGAGGCTACTTAGCGCTATTGAGGGCGACCGTGGTATGACTCTAAATCGGCAGTTGAACCTTTCGGGTGAAATTCAACGGTAGGATCAATGTAAAAGACCGGTTTAGTGGCATGAGTGGGCATGCAAGGTACAATTCCCTGCATGTGGGCAAGTAATCAGGATGACCAAAACGGGTGCGCCACTATGGGCGGTTTGCCAATGCGTGTTGCAGAGATCAACATATGTGTGCAGATATACACATGCATGTAGACGCGTGCATGCTGTAAACATGTATGCATGGGAGGGGAGGGGAGGGGAGGGGAGGGGAGGAGGGAGGGAGGGAGGGAGGGAGGGAGAGAGAGAGAGAGAGAAGGAGAAAAGTATGCATTTGTGTGTGTGTGTGCGTGTGAGCATATGTGCCAGGAGAAAAGGATAAGCTTATGAGCACATACATACAGATGTGAAACACTGATGCACACATACATGGATGCATGTGGATGCATACTTCGCGAGTATGCAATGGCAGCTGCATATACGTGCGTACCCGTGTCAAACTGAGTCCATGTCTTTAAAAAGGAGCGTATACACATGTGGATGTGTGTGTGTGTGCGTGTTTTGCTTGTCTAGATGCATGCAGATTTGTGTGTGGTTGTGTATTTGTGGAGAAGGGTCAACATAGCCTCCATTTGCTTAAGCCCCCGGGAAAAATCGAAAATGTCCCAATAACGATAGATTCCCTTTAAAACCGACAGGGGAAAATAATAACATATCATATTCTGAAGCAAATCGAAGATAGACACACACCCTGAGTGACAGGTTAAATCTGAAGCCACCCCCAGTTTCTGACTTTGATAGCCACCAACAACCGCCGACATCATGACCCCTGGATTCGAGCCACTGACAGGTGCCGGTGTTAAATGAGTTTTTCTGGTTACCGCAGGGGCCGACTTATCAAGCTTTCTCCGCCTGGAAATTCAGGGATCCTTACATTCTACACCTGAGCATTGCCTTGTAAATGGCGGCGTCCCTTTATTTTGGTGGAAAACAACCTATGTTTCAAGTGGACAAAAGTATCTGTTTGGGAGCCCTGAAATCGGAGAGCCCAGTGTAACTTCGCAGCGGGGGCGCTGTTGACCCCAAGCTCCAGCATCTGCTGCCCCATGGCGCCCAGCAAGTGCAGCGCCATCTGCCAGCCACCTCGCGAGCGAAGCCGCGAGCGAAGCTGCGCGCGTTTCTGCTCCTGTTTGGTTGTTTTGTTTGTTTTTCTTTCTTCTTTTTCTTCTTTATTTTTTCCGTTGGGTGCGTTTCTGAAACTATGTACCCTTCTTAAGGTGTCTTGTTAAGCGAAAACCAAAAGGCGACCAAGCACCTGGAGGGTGCTGATCTTTGAGAAACGCCCGACCCTTTTGTCACATCACACGCAATGAACTGGCCCAGCAGTCCCGTTGTTGCGAATCTGGCTGCGTGCCTGGTGTCCCGTGTTTCAGCCGCTGAAGTCATTCTTTCTTTAGGGGTGGTTGTCGTTTGACCTTAGCGAGTAAATTTGAAGAGTTATTTGAAAGGCACAGGCGCCATAATAAAGAAGAAGGCATTCCCGGCCGGAGTGTCTTCAACCCTTTGCATGAATCTTGCCCTCTCTTTCCGTCGGGTTCCCCTGCCTGCACCGAATTTCGGGCGTTTGGGGCACGCACTGAGCGGAATTTGTGGGGTGTCTTTTTCAGTGTGCTCTTTTTAGACGTCACTTCGCCGAACAACTCAAAAGGAGAGCAATCATTTTGGAGCTTCCCGGATTTTGAGACAAATCCCCCCCCCCCCCACAATTTTCCCATGTTCAGTCAGTCCCCCCAGCCCCATCTTCCCATTTTCAGTCGTATGCATTGCGGGATGTTTTTTCGCCAGGTCACCTCCACTGCTGCAAGAGGCAATGGCCGCGTTGAAGCAAACCGCATCGGCGACCTGCAAAGGGCTCCTGGGCCCTCCGAACTAATTAGCATTCAAGAAGTGGAAATTGGAATGCCGGAAATGGCCCATGATTGAAGGTAGTTGGAGGGTCCAGTCCAGGCTGTCACACTGTTTCACAGCGTATGGAGGTTGAGGTTTGGCCCTAAACCCCGAAGCCTCACACCTCAAGCAGCTCTTTCGCAATCCTTTGAACAAAGAAATGGGGGACTCCTAGAAGCCACTTGCGGTTTTCTGGATGTCCAGAGGGAAAAGCACGACGTTGCAACATGTAACAGCAGACAGCAGCAGGAATGAACAAGTCCAGCCAAACAAACCAGGAACACCGAAATGGCAAGTCGAAACAAACGGCAAAGCATGCGTCATAGGCAGCATGTGGCAAAACGCAAAATGCCACTTCCATGTGTAATGGTTGGCTGGTTGGCTTGGCTGGCTTGGCTGGCTTGGCTGGCTTGGCTGGCTGGCTGATTGAATTTCCCAATGTTTGTTCTTGTTTCGCCTACAGTTGAATCATGGGAGGCCATGCGTGCCTCCATGAGGCTTGCCAGCAGGGCGACCGCGCTCGCCCACGCGCCGCAGCTGCGGATGGCCTTGCAATAGCCGGGCCAGGCCCCGAGTCCAACACATTGAAACTATGTTTGAACAGCCTCCTGTTTGGCCGCAGCCTGACATGCAAGGGCGATTGTCCATGTCTGCTTGCTCCACTTCTTTGGGTCGCTGTCGAACTGACTAAGGGGCACCAGGGCCTGGTGGTTTAAACAACCCTTGAAGATGACGCTTTGCTGCCAGTTAAAGGAGCGTCCTGCGCCGTGGAACCCAGAACGTCCTTGTCGGTAACCCGCACCAAGGCTCGCTGCTGGCGTGGAAGGCGTTCACCTCCAACGAATTCTCGCTCATCTGGCGGAGCACCTAAGTGCCAAACCGTGCCCTTACTCATACCCACAGGTCCAACCTCAGAACATTTCCCCGCCAAAAAAAAACTCATTTGGCAACCAAAAGGTCATGGTGTACCCGCTGCTTGGCTGGTCAGGAAGATGGAACCACTAGTTGGGAGTTGATCGCGCCCTCAGTTCGTTGCACTTTGTCGCAACTGCCTTCTGGTTGAGGCATCCAAGCCCAGCAAACGCTTGGCAGCCTCTCGGCTCTTGAACCGCCCATCCCCCAAATCCAGTTTTGGCCTCCAGGGATTGCTGCCATTGCCCGCCCTGCGCCAGCCGTTTCAGCCGCTTCGTGGCCTCCGCCGGCGACCACCTGAGCTCCAAATGGCTACAAACCTGGACCGCGTCTTGCTGACCAAGCGTCCACCTGGGCCCGGCAAAACAAGATAGGGGACGCCCCCGGCCAGCAACAAAGAAACAAGCAAACCTGAAACCAACCACTTGGCTGGGTTCGGTTCCTCGTTTTCACAAAGAAGCTCCAAAACCCCTCACCACCATCTCTCTACAGACTGCTGCAGTTGTTCGCTACAGGGAAGCCTCAAGAATGAGCATCAGAAATCAACATTTCGGATGCCTGGGAAATTCTGGGACCACTAAAACTTGACCTTGGCTTCTGGAAAAAGCAAGGAAGAAGAAAAAATAAGAAAAAGAACGGTGACAGGGGGCCGCTCGGACCCCCGAACTGCGGCAATCCAGAACAGGTAGCCACGCCTATGCTTCATTTCGCACATTTTGGTTCGCCCTTGCGATTGCCTTAAACCAAAAGGTTGCAGATGCGCGCATCCTGAGGGCATGCGCCCTTTGGGTCTGAAGCTTCGGAGCCCGTCCCGCTGCTTAACGTGCGGCTCGGTGGCCCTGCAGTTCTGTGCCATGGCACCTAAAGGCATCGAGCGTCGGATCCACGCTAAAAAATCGCGTGGCTGCTTTTGGTTCCGTGGAATGCTCCATATTGCATTTCTGCCTTCTGATTGGTCAAGCGACCAATGCACAAGTTGCAAGAAGCGAGCTGATGCCCGCTTCCGGACGGATAAACTGGGACGCCGCTATTGATCAGGCAAAGGGTTTCACTCATGGGCTCTTATTGCCACTTTTCCCTCGCCCTCGCCCTGGCCTCACGGGTGCACCGGCACATGGGGGCGACACAAAGGGCAGCACATGGGATGCTTGGCTCAAAGCTGATTGCTGTGAGGGCTGTGCTTTGCGAGGCCTTGCCAGGCATGAGCTGAGTGCAGCAAACATTGCCGCATCCGTATGGCCCCAATGCGTCTCCCAAGCTCTGTTGCAACCCGCGCAGGGGGTTTTGATCAAGATCGCCGCAAAACAACCAAACCCCAGCCCTTGCCAGCCAATTGTGCCTGCTGAGGCATACCATGCCGAGAATCCCGCCAGGTCTCGGGCCGAAAGTGGTTCTCTCGCACCGGCGCCGTGCCCGCAGGATTCGAAGCTTTGACTTTCCAAAGGGAACCAAATGTCTGTGGCTCAAAAAACCGGTACCAAAATAGAACCCTGCTATGTGGAAACATGGACCAAAACCTGCGTAACCCCTCCTGTCTAACTTTGAGCCACACCCAAATGGGTTGAGCCAGGTGGCTCAAGCCCTGTTTAAACAAGCTTAATCACCTGTTCTCTGACCGTCTTGCTTTCAGTTCCCCTGTCAAGTTGCAGGATCTGGTTTTCTAAACAAATCTTGCCCAGCCCTTGACCAATGCCTGCCTCCCGAGCGCATGGCTACAAAAGAACGACCTCTGGCCAGCCCGTCGCTGCTCCCCACGACGCTTGCCCTTCCCTGCCCCCCCCCCAGGCACGCGCATGAGCGCTCGCTCGCACGAGCGCTCGCTCGCACACCCGCACGCGCACGCGCACGCAGCCAGGCACCCACGCACACACACACACACACACACACCCACACACACACACAGCCACACATCCACACACAGCCACACACACACACACTGACTGCCCTGCAAACCGCTGGGTGCTTTGCCGGAGAGGCTGCGTTGCACCTGGGCAGGTTTAACTCCTTCACACAGTTGTGCGCAGCCAGGGCCAATCAAATGGCACTCAACACTGCGCCGACCAAGCCTGGAAGGCATCGTTCTGTCTGACCTGGCAGCTGGCTTCAATGGGCGGACCCGGGCCTTAGGGCCTTAGGGCGCTGGAAGGGGAGTTCCCTTGGCCTCTTGACATGGAGCAGCATGATACAACAAGTCCTTCCTAGCCTCGCCGCAAAACATATCTGCTGTTTCTGCTGCAAGCCTTTCCAAGGTCTCCAAAAAGAGCCGCCTTGGAATCACTTCATGGATCCTGTTAATCTCATGCATCTTGCCCCGGAAACCCCGAGCCCACTAGGCCTAGTGTTACCGCCAGCCTTTGGCCGCCTTGTGGGCTTGGCACAAGGCAAACATGCGGCACCCCCGCCAGCTTCCCATCCCCGAGCCTGGCAGGTCCGGGAGCTGGGAGGAGGTCGAAATCTTTAGTGCCATGGTTGCTATGAGCCGAATTCGTGCTGCCGGCGGGTGCGCTTGCAGAATACCCATCGCAGCGCTTTAGCCATTATCCCCACTGCGACAGTGGCAGACCAACCAACAAATCATCCAGGCGTCCTAGGGCAGCTATGGTATACAGCCACGATCATACCCATTTTGGCCCTTCAGTTGTAAACCTGACAATGGCACACTACGTAACATATACACCCACTCATGTTCACATGCATGTGCGCGTCAAGGTCTACATGATGCAAACAATGTTCTGTGTATGAATGCATGCATGAATACATGCATGCATGTATGCATGTATGTATGTGTGTAGGTATATATGTATGTAGGTATGCATGTGAGTACGTATGTACTTATGTGCGTATGTACGCATGTACGTATGTGATCTACTGCAATGCAATACTATGCAATGCAACGCAATGTAATGTTAGTAATGTAACGTAATGTAACGTAATGTACTGTAACGCAATGCAATGTAATGTAGCGTACTGTAGTGTAGTGTAGCGTTCTGTAGTGTAGTGTGGTTTTCTAACATGTGATGTAGTTTAGTGTAGTATAGTTTAATATAATGTACTGTAATGTACTGTCAATGTATGTATGCGTGTGTATATGTGTCTGTGCGTCTGTGTGTCTGCGTGTATGTGTGCATTTGCAAACGTACGTCCGTATGCATGCATGCATGCATGCATGCATGCATGCATGTATGCATGCGTGACCCTCCCATGGTCCTGAATCCCTACTGGCCTAATGTCAATCAACAGCAAAGAAAGAAACATCAACAAATATGAACCACCAACCAACACCAAAAACCGGAATAAAAGCGAAAGCTAAAGCAACATGCCAACAAACTAACAAGACAAGCTGGAAGCATGATGCAGATCATAAACTAGTGTAAGGTCGTAGACGTCACAACCAACCCCAAAACCCCCAAAGGAGGGCTTTCTCTCGCAAGTTTCCCGCCAAAGGGTACCATCACCATGCGCCCTCACATGCGCTCGAGAAAACAATTTTCTGCGAGTGATCTGTCATGCGCTCCCAAGGCTTGGTCTGGGAGGGAGCGCCTGAGGCTCGACTTGCAACCTTGCAACAAATGGCAATTGGGATCCTTACATTATACACCGGAACATTGCCTTGTAAATGGTGGTGTCCCTTTATTTTGGTGGAAAAAGCCATGTTTTCAAATGGGCAAAGTGTATAATTTAAGGAGCCCTGAAAAGGCAATTGGGATCTTGGGGAAATTCTCTCTCTCTCTCACATTAGGAGCACTCTTGGCCCAGTTGGCTGTCTCATTGAACTAATGTTGACACTGGATGAATAAACCCAGGGGGTGCTCCCTCCAAAAGTGATGAATCCCCACCAAAGGGGGACACCCCCCTAATAATCAACCAGGGGTTGATTAATCCGGGGTTAACATTCGGTGCCTGATGTCTTTGAGTTTGACTTTTCGGCAAGCCATTCCTCAGCCGTACTTCGAGGTCAGACCCTGGACGTCCCGCAATGAAGGTGTCTCAACGTGGGGTTTCTCCCTGTTGGCTGCTAAAACGTAGCTGGAAGCCCAAAGATGCGTTTGGAGAAACGATGCCCAGGGCCTGAATCTACATTAAGTCCTGCGACGGGGCCGGCTGGACCATTCTGCCCAACGCCTCTAGCACGAGGGGCCTAAGTTGCTTGCCAGACTGATGCCGCACCAGCGACCCACAAAAAAAACAGAGAACAGATTGGATTTGGGCACCAGAATCTGCCGGCTTCAATTTGGAAAGGTTGGGATCAAACGGTGGCTTTCTCAGCTTGCGAGCTGGCACTTGCAGCTTGCACCTTGGAACGGGACGGCAGCCTCGGCGCCGCCGAGTCCGAATGCCACTGCGCCGGGTGCA